GCTGTGATCATCGGCAGCTGGATGCAATCATCGCATGCCAATGTGCATTAGCTTGTTTAGTTTACACTCGAAGTGGATTGGTCTCACTAAGCGAGATCCCAATTCGTCGGTCACTGACGTGACGTCTCCGTTCCCTACTTCAGGAAACGAGGGTTACATACAGTATGTAACCGAGATGTTCTTCACACTAAGAAAAAAAATTTATTTTTAAGAACGGTTCACTGAAAGGTTCTTTGGGGAACCAAAAATAGTTCTTCTGTGGCATCATTTCAAAACCCCACTTTTGAAACCTTTATTTTTAAGAGTGTAGACAGAATCGTCCAACTAAATTCTTTCTCAACCTTTGTAACTCCAGGGTCCTTCATTGTCAATTGTTTGTGATAGTCAATCATTGTCAGTGGCAGCAGCTTCTACTTCTTTAAAACACATAAATGAATTGTGAACTTAGAGCTTTGTTTAGCATACAGACTATGTGCATGTTATTAACAGTTCCATAAAATCTGTTAATTAAAGTTACTTAAAAGATTTATGCTGTTGGCACAGTCAGATATCAGTTAAGCAGACAAAGTCATTTATACGCAATAGAAATTGGAGATAAAACTGATGGACTGATAAGTTTGGCTTTTCAGATATTCAGCTGACTGGCATCTCCATTAGAAGCAGCATGGGCCTTGAAAATGAATGTAACATTCAATCCACAGAACCTGGAAATTACTTGCTTTTGTTTTTAAAGCTTTTCTTAGTTAGATCATTACTGGTGTAAGATTAACTGTAGTGTTGCTTTGTGAGTTTTCCTGCACTTTACCCTAGTTAAATTAGAAAGGAGTGTATATTGAGAGTATGCGATGGAGAAGTGGTGTATGGGGCTTAGAAGGAGGATGGGAGTAGTAATACCAAACTAACTATCTAATCCATACCATTTTTAGAGGGCCTTCCGTGACGAGTGCAAGTTCAAGGAGACACTGCTGCCCAACAATTACAACGCATATGAGTCTTCCATTTACAAGGGCTTTTATATCGCCCTCAGCAAACACGGCCGCTTGAAGCGAGGCTACAAGGCTTCCCCAGCAATGACTGTCACACATTTCCTCCCACGTTTATGAGCAAACCTGGCAATAACACAATAATTTGCACATGTTGGATGTTCTCGTAGGTAACCCAAACATGCTAAGAGGTGAACTGCAAAGAACTAAAATAACACTTACAGTATTTATTCTTGTTGAAATAATAATATATGTATATTTCGGTAGCTTACTTTGTGTACATGCCATTCTTTGCTGCTTATGATTTCTATTATGCATATTATGAGAGTCGAGGAGCTTTTTTTGCTCTCACTTTTTATGGGTGCTTGCCATAACTGGTGTAAACCTTACCCGGCATTGGACTAACATCCTTAGCTTTTACAGTGAAATGGATACTTTTTATTACCTCAAAGAGCCACGTCCACATTAAAAAAAGTTATGGAGGGAAAAATAAATATCAGTTTACTCTGATCTTCATCTGTTCCACCATTTTTGAAAGCACTTATTTTTCATGATTAGGTGGTGCCTTAGCGTCTGCTATTTTGCCTCCTTTTATGCATGCAAGAAAGAGGTTTTTGTTCCATATTTAGATCAATAACCAAATAGTCGACATTAAAAACCGATTGCATGCATCCTTATTGGGAGTTAAACTCGGAGAGGGCTATTTTACGCCTCAAGTAAGTTCAGAATTTGACAAAGTCTGTGGACGGCTAGTCCTGAAAGGTTTGGGTGCTTCCATTTGAATTAATATACTGATCAAGCTAGTGAAATGCACAGAATTGCATTAACCTTGAATTATGTGGCACGATTATATGATAGCATAGCTGTTGCTTAGTGATAAGAAAACCGCTGATTTGATTTATCAGATTAAATATAGCGTGTGATTAAGTCCTTTTTTAATCATATGTATTGATATTAGTCAGGGGTGTATTATGTTTTACCTCTACAGTCAGTGAGGGCTCATTCACCAACATGTTGACTACATACTTGAACTCCACCTCAAAAAGTCTTTGGAATGTAAAAACCAATACAACCGTCTTAATCTGTTCGAGATAACATAATTTGCGCATTACTTTATGTTTGAATACGAGCATAGACCCGAACACCTGTGCACACTCTTAAATTCCCATGTCAATTGACTTTATCTAGAGAATTTGCTTCAAGTCGCACATGAAATTGAATTGAACTTCGGTATTTGTAGGCATTCCCCTTCCCTCACCCCACTTTTTTTAGCTATACAATTACAGGAATAGTTCACCCCAAAATTTTAATTTGCTGAAAATGTACCCTCAGACCATCCAAGATGTAGATGAGTTTGCTTCTTTCATCTGAAAAAATTTGGGAGAAATTTAGCATTACATTAGGCTATTTGTTCACCAGTGGATCCTCTGCAGTGAATGTGTGTTGTCAGAATGAGTCCAAACAGCTTTAAAAAAATCTAAATAATCTACAAGTAATCCACGAGTCCAGTCCATCACTTAATGCCTTGTGAAGTGAAAAGCTGCACATTTGTAGTAAACAAATCCATCCACATATTTTTAACTTCAAACGAGTCCTATAATCCATAGTATTGCTTGTTTTGTCTGAAGAGAAAAAGTATGTCAGACCAAGCAAAGCTTTGGAAGTCCAAAAGAGTTCTAAAAAATATGTTGGTGAATTTTGATGTTACAAACACTCAACTTTTCACAAAAGATGTTAACTGATGGACTGAGTGTGGATTACTTGTAGATTATTGTGATGACCATAAAACTTATCAGCTGTTTGGACTCTCATTCTGACGGCACCCATTCACTGCAGAGGATCCATTGGTGAGCAAGTAATATAATTCTAAATTTCTCCAAATCTGTTCCAATAAAGAAACAAACTCATCTACATCTTGGATGGTCTGAGGGTGAGTAAATTTCAAGCAAATTTTCATTTTTGGGTGAAGTTCTTTAAAGAAATAAACTCCTTTAAATTTAAATAATAACTAAATTATTATTAGAATATTCAATTAAAGGCTGAGGCTCTCATTTTCCATCTTAATTTTTCTTGCGGTTGCTACTCACACTGCAACAATCAAGATGTTTTTATCTTTGCTACTATATCCTTAAAACACGTGTTGCATTTCTGACGCAGCTGCAATGTGTAGGAGAGAATTAAAGGTTTGATAATCACTGCAGTACTAGCAAGTACATATTGACCTTGATTTCTCTTGCATTACTGCTTCTACATGACATTTTGAGACATCTTAATGATACAAAGGAGAAGGATGTTATTTTTATAACAGTTATGGCTGGGATGTTTGAGCCAGGTACACTGATATTTAGATTATATACAATGTGCTCATGGAGTGTGTTTGTGACTTTTTCCTTAAAGGTATATTTCACCCAAAAAATGAAGATTACTCACCCTCATGTCGTTCCAAACCTGTGTGACATTTTGTCTTCTGTATGAATGTAAAAGAAGGTATTTTGAAGAATGTTTTGGACCCCATTGACTCTCATTATATGGGCACTTAAGAATGGAAGTTACACAGGTTTAGAACGACATGAGGGTGAATAAATAATGACAGAATTTTCATTTTTGGGTGAACTGTCTAAACAAAATTAAAACTATGGTCTATGGCTATGGTCATTTTTTAATGTTCTGAGAATAAAGAAAGATTTTCAGCTGTACTATGTTGAAAATATGAACTATATATTAGTATTGATGGCTATGGATTTAAAAGTCTTTGTACCCCAAATATGGCATGCAATGTGATTGCTTCAATGAAACTGTCAAAATGACTGCTTTTTTTATGTATGTGATGACTGATGTTAATTTATTGATATGTATCTCCACTGTACCCTGTCCTCTATCACATGTCTGATCTCTTTAAACTTAGATGAAATTAATAGAATTTTGCATGGTTTTTAATGCAAAATGATGGACAGAAATGTGCACCTAGAAGTTAGGCCCTCTAAACTAAGTTCTTATACAGAAACAGCTATTCCTCATGCAAGTTCCACCGGTTTCTTTGTACTGTACTTTGTCTCCAGCTTTGAAATGGCCCCATTGGTGGCTTGCGAGATGATTGTAAGGGGCTGTGCATGTGTGTTTATGTCCTTGTACGTATGCAGCCTTTGTGTTTTCTCAGTTTTGTATTCCTGCACTGAGGGGCAGATGCCCCCTCCAAATTCCCCTCCTATTTTCTAACATATACCTCACCTTCTGCCTTAGTTCCAATTTGTTGAAATGATTGTACGATTTGTTGGAGACAACAAACTTTTTGCCAATCATTTTGTTATCTGAAAAAAAAAAAAGAAAAAATTAGTAAGAATTCTAATATATTAAGAAAATGTTTCCTTTTATTTTTATACGTATGTGCTGTGCACAGCAGCCGTTATGCGTTCATTACTGAAATGAAAATAAAAGGTTGTTTTTTTAGCCTCTGTGTTTTTGCATTATACTTTAATCATAATTAAATTGGTTTTTACTGAAACAGGTTTTAAATGTTTAGTTAGCAGGGGGTTAAAAAATATGGATAGTATTAGTTGTGTTAGCGCCCCCTCATGTGGTCAAAATCAGAAATGCATAAGTTTTTGCGTAAAATTACCATCCTGTCTTTTTTACGTTTGATTTCACATACCTTTTTTATGCACAGACTAAGTAAAGCAAATAAATTAACAATAAATAAAATAAATACATTACATTTTTATCTTGTAAGCCTGTAGCATTTACTTAAAAATATAAAATATCTTAAATATAAGATATATAAGCAATAGGTGAGCAATGACAATTAGGCTAAGGTGCAAAATATTTAGTAGCGCAAGTTGTAACTTCAGAATTTGTCCCATCAAAACTAGGTTAACTTATGTAAAGCTGGTGAACCCGGCATCTGGTTACAACTGCCAGTTGTAGCTGATCAACTTTAAAGTTCTTGGTCTGCAAACATGACCTTTGAACTAATTTTCCCCAATTATATAAACTAGCAGTGAGATGCCTCACTGTATCCTGAGCTCTTGCCTGATTCAGTCTGATCATGCACACAGTCCCTCTTCTCTGTCTGGCTGCTCTAAGCACCTCAGCACTAATAACTTGTCATCCTATACAAAAGGAAACAATCCAAACAGATTTAACAAGAGAAAATCTGAGCAATATGGAGACCATGATCAGTACATACGGATATTTCCTGATGATGAAATTTAGTAAAAGAATGAGGAAAGCCATTTCTCGAGAGTCCAAAGGTAAGTTGCTTTTTTTATACATAAACGGGCACATTTCTACATATTTTGACTGTTAATAACATTATTGGTGCTCTTTTAATTCATAAAGTAGCTGCTTTACTGAAGAAAAGAAGCAAGGACTGCTTCTTACTACTTCATATTAAAACAAATAATATAATGTGCTTGGATAGAACTAAAAACACATATATTTCAGTGAGTATTAGTTTTTTATCAATATTGTAAACAATACATGATTTTATGTTTTAAAGACTTTTGCAATTCTAATTACTACATTATGGATTAATATAGCTAAAAGGATTTAATAATTTAAAAAAGCTTTAATAAAACACATTATTGTCCTCAGGTTGATGGCATTAATAAGGACTGCTTTAAAACAATTCACGGAAAGAATTCCCATCATGCTTTGTGCCCATGGAGGAGTGACGCAATGATCAAGCTTGTTGGAGGTAAAAGTCACACCGAGGCTTATAGTACAGAATTACATCATTCTCTGCAGTCAAACAACCATAAAACACATCGCGGACAGAGAAGAAGCCAGTATATTGACCCATCTGATCCCTTGGGATCTGAGAATCCAAGGTCAAGGACTGCTAATTATCGAAGACCAAATCGAGAGCATGAGCACGAGCGCAGCAGTAATGTTTCTAAAGAAACCATCACTTCCTATGACGACCCTTTACACGTACTGCTCTCCAAGAGCCCTGTCAGTCCTAATTTACAAAAACAGAAGAAACACAAGCAAGTTGCACCATCTGATCCATTCTGAATTACTGACCTCCTAAAAATAAATGATGAACGAAAATGATGGTAAGAAAACCATCTGTGAACCACCCAGGAGGACTTTTTTTTTGGATGATTCCTAAAACCAATACACTGACCTAAAGAACTTATAACATCACGTTAAGAAACCAAATGGTTTCGAGGAAACATATCACCAAGAACTGTATATGATGCAATCTAGGGCCTCAGGACCTCAGTTGGTGTTGAGGCTAGTTTAGGTCACTGTTTGTCAGTCCTTTCACCTTTTCAAGTCAGTTAAAATTTAAACTACCTTGCAATGCTGCGGCAATGACATTGTTTTCATAAGAACTGTGCAAGAATCTTTTCAATCGACTGATGTAGGTAATATCATGAAATACTAAGTAGAAATGTCATAGTTTCTAACATGTATGAGATGGTGCTGGCCACCTCTACTGAATTATTTATTAAAAAGTACTGATATATTTTTATTTATTATATTTTATATTGATGTCTTTAATTAAAATATTACCTCAGAAATGTATCAAATTGAAACTTTTAAATTGTATTTTTTAGTTATATTAGCTATTCATTTCAAGAATTCTTAGGAGCGTAATTACCTGTATTTATACTGTGTAAAATTATGTATAATGCATAATGTAATATATATATATATATATATATATCAATTTTCCGAAATAAATTCTGTTCTTTTCAACTTTATCAAAGAATCCTGAAAAAAATACATAACCTGAAATAATAATAAGAAAGCACCAAATCAGCTTTACCATCACATGGATAAATTACATTTTAAAATATATTCCAAAAGAGAACAGTTATTTTCAATTGCAATAATATTTCACATAATGTAATATATATATATATATATATGTATATATATATATATGAAAAAAAAAAAATAGAATGAATGCATTCAAACAATAAAAGAATTGTAAAATATTTTTTCTTAGCTTCCCGTCCTTCTTAATGAGTTTCCCATTAAATCTTATAAATTTAGGCACTCAGAAGTTTTCCAGCACATTATATAAAAACCATCATAGATGTATTATATGATTAAATTGTTGTTGTGATGTAATATTTTAGTTTTCTGAAATCTGATTCTTTACATTAATGCTTGATGATGATTAGAATCAAGTACTATGACAGCAAATAGCAAGAGAAAGATACTGACAATCTATTTAATCTATTTAACTCTGATGTTGCCATTTGCATTGGAGTGATATCAGTTGGATTTGTTGATGTTTGTTTTTAGTGATTATGTCATTTTGAAACCAACAATATATCCTTTCTTTCATCAACAGATTGTTCAAGGATACAATTTGGGTGCATGAGTTTGCAGAAATAAATGAATTCAAACATTCTCTCAACAAACACCTTAAAATGAGGTCAGAGTAGCTGAATATCTTCAATATTGACTGTTCTCTGCTGTTGAAGTACATGTCAGGACACTCTGCAACTATTATGTAAATATGAGGCACAAATGCATATATAAAAATATTCTGTTCTTGCATATCAGTTTCAGGTTCAGCATTAATTTAGGGCAGGTTATCATAGTCATGAGTCAAAGATGAAAACAAAAGTTCACCTAAATGACTGGAAATTGTTACAAAGATACAAGAAAACAAGTAAGAAAACATTGCATAATATTAGAGAAACTGCAGTGATTCCAATAAGGGGAAAATATAAAAGAACATAGATGGAGGATATATTTATTTAGTTAAAATTTATACTTTTATAGCATTTAAAATTAAATCAATAACTTACACAAACACTCCTTTACAGAATATTAAATAGTTTTAAGAGTCAATATTTAATACTGCCAATGTCTAAATGGTAAGCACACAAATAAAATAATATAATATAGGACTCATAAGTTATATGGCAAAGTGTCATTTCTTCAGTGTTGTCACATGAAAAGATATAATAAAATATTTACAAAAATGTGAGGGTTGTACTCACTTCTGTGAGATACTGTATACATAACTGAAGTCCTTCAGATATTTTTTTTTAAATATTGTCTTTCCAAAAGTTGATATGTTTGTCTATCACAAAATTTTGTAATCTGGTTAAAGTGCTTGAATACAATATGACTTATTTTTTTGCATAACATATGTAAACATTTTGTTGATTTCTTACATTTTACCTTTTAAATTTTAAAACTGTTGTTCTTAATCTAATTCTAAGCCTTGATGTGATCTCTTCTGTTGATGAACACATTTCACATCTGAAAGTTCAGGATCTGCATTACTACATTTAAAAGTGATAGGAAATCGGCACATTCCGGTGTTGGGGCAGATGGAATACCTCTGAGAAGGGTCTAAACCACGGGGCATGGGGCACTTCAGGTCCTCAAAGAAATACTTCATAGCTATGCTCATATAAGCCCCATGGCCAACCACCAAGGCATAGACAGGCACATTCAAGACTCCATCATCTGGAAGTCCTGCTGGAGCCCTATCGGTTTCATCTGGTAGGGATGTTTCACCATCTTGTATTTTGTCTTGATGTTCATTAGCTATTCGATGGAACATAGCCTTGAGAAAATCCTTGATTCGCACTTTTACCTGAAAAAAACAAAACAAAAAGGCTTTCTATATACTGTAAAAATATATTCAAATAGCATTATTAAAACATGCAATGAAAAATTCAGCCAGGAAATACATGTCAACTTTAGTATTGTCACAGAACAATACTACCAAGTGTCATGAAATTAAACACACAGGATAGTTGGATATCACAGACTGCGAAGGATACATCTACTATACACCTACAACTAAGGTAACTTGGGTAGAAGGGATGTGACACGATCACTGAATCTGGACGTACTTTGTTGCATTGCAGCATTTTTCATAATTGGATGCAGCAAGTGTTGCCATTTAGTTTCTTTCATCACAAAAAAAGTGATTTTACCTGCTCCATGGTCTCTCCCTCAGGTGGAGTGAACTCTGGTAAAGGTTGTCCGGCTGCTTTAGCCATATCTTTCATTTCTATGACTCGACCTCCCTCAGCTATACCAAAACTCTGGAGAAAAGAAATAGGTTTGAGATGCATATGAAAAGTTGCTCAGAAAGGACAGACTTTGAGCGGACATTTTTCTTATTTTATCAAGCGGTAGTCTGTACTTACTCTCTCTTTAAGTGATGGATCTGCTACTAGTTCTATATCATGACAGGTTCTGTTGTTCCTCACGATGATCTCTGCAGTCTGTAATTTTACAAAGACGTGATTATTCAAATAATAAAAGTGTCAACAAATACACTGTGCAAACAAATACACAAAGAAAGTAGTCCTTGTTACAAGAAGGGCTTGTACAACCTTATAACAATATCTTATAACAGAAATTGTCTGACTCCAAACATATGAGTATTATTGATAATTTCTGTAACACATTAAATATATTTATTAATACTCAAAACTACTCACTAATGCTTATCGAATCTTATCCAAGGAAACACGCATTTACAGCTCATTTGATCTGGATTTGATTTGGGTTATTTTGTCAAATATGTGGAGAAACATCTCCCTCTACCTGTGGCCAGATTGTATGACTTCTACTAGTGTGTTTCTGCTTACCTGCTTGGCACGTTTCATGTCACTGACAAACACATTTGTGAATTTTACATCCCTGAGGTACTGACCAGCAGCCTCAAGCTGCGTTCAAAAAAAAAAAAAAAAAAAAAGATATAGTTTGAAATGATAGATATAGTTTGTGGTTAGAAGAGCATTTGCTCAGATACAGTAAAAATGCCAATAATGAATGCTTATAATTAATAGGCTAATGGAATAAAGGAAGGGGTACTGATAGTTAGGGATAACAGATAATGTGTTTTTTCCTTGAAAAAAATTACCTTGTAAAAGGCCATCTTTAGCCCTATTCGCACGGGATTAGTATTATCTGGAGACCTTGTGTGATTTTGAAATTAACCCCCCACCTCTGAATTAAGTGTGGTGCATTCGCACGGGATAAGCGAAGCCTGTGATTTTACTCGAATTTACCGATTTATCTCCCGGATACCCGGATGTCAAGGCTTTGAGAGTCCCGTTCTATGGTCCAGATGGATAAAAAAAAAGAAAAGAAAGAAATTAATATAGTTTCGTGACCTGTGAAATTTACATTTCACCAGGTTAAAATAGTATCTCAAGATTTATGCTTGATTTATTTGTAACACATTAACCTTAAAACCTTTTCAGCCTTTTCTATCTACAAATTGTATGGTGTAGCCATATAACAGGACCCAAAATACTATCAAACACTCCAACGCAGCTCCATTCTTCGCGAAAGATGGATAAAAAAGCGCACAGGAAACAAAAACCTCGAAAAATGATATACGACCCGCCAAATGCTGGCTGAATCACAGAGATGCCGATTCGCACGGGACTAATATTATAACAGGACCTCGGTGTTCGGCGAAATATGGTAGGTCTTTTGCGGGGGAATTTTTACTTTACAAATTACAGACATGGCCGATTCGCACGGGATTAAGATCACAGACAACCTCCGCAATTATTACAAATAACTGGAGGTCACCAGGTAATACTAATCCCGTGCGAACAGGGCTTTTGTTGCACTGCGTCTCGCCACTGGTAAAGCAAAACAGTATGATCAATAAAAACGACATTACTAACCAGCACACATATTTTTAATTAAGAAAGTTATAACTGTAACTTAATGGGTCTTTTGTAAATAGACATGTAGTTAAAAAAACCCAAACCAAAACAAAACAAAAAAAAGAGATTCTACACAACGTCTTGCAATAAAGACAGCAGACTTTGCCCATATCGGTCTTACATGACAGTAACGGTAGAACATATTTTTTGTTTTGTTTAATAGAGTAGACCACAAGTTACATCAAATTTGCTTTTGACCTTTCATTGGAAGAGAGATTCGTACTGACCTTTAAGCATAAGCTACAACAGACAGGAGTAATATGATATGAGGAGCCCAGTAAACGTTAAACTAAAGACCTACGAGTATATTTAAACTGTAACGTACTAAATGCCAGACAACATACCTATCT